AACTAAGTAAATAGCTAGTCTTATACTAATAAAAAACTAGTAATATAATAATAAACTAAATTATTAAAATAAACTTTTATATATTAAGGCTAAAGCCTATAGATTAAAAAGTAAAGTATAAAATATATAGTTACTTAGCCCCTTTACTGCCTAAGGCTAGTATAATACTAATTAGCTAGGTAATAAGAATAATTAGCTATATATTACAGTATAGCCTTTACTAAAGTATAATATTAAGAACAAACTAATTATCTTAATATTCCAATCTAGTAATATACTAAATTCCTTTTAATGCTTGTCTTTTCCCTAGGACCTCTCTATATATAGTATAAAGCTTTATATTAGTAAGGCTATTATAATACTTTATTACTAGGATATTTAAATAGCTAATACTAGATAGGTTTGTCTTCTTCCTTATAAGGCAAAAGGCAAAGCAATTAAATTCTATTTACCTTTAAGGCCTTGTATTAGTAATATATACTTATATTTATCCAAAGCTACAGAGCTAAAGTTTTTTATAAAATATAATAAAGTATATACATAGCGCTTATATAGACTGTAATTTACAAACTCTTAATAGTTTAAGGGTAAAGGTATATTAAATAACACTCCCGGTGCGGAACTTGGATATTTTTTAGCATGTTGATACAGATTACCATGCCTTGAAACGGGCGCCGTTCCACGTTTTTGGAAACACGACTTAGCTGGTAACGGGGCCCGTTACGAGTTTGACAAGCTCATGTCGAGTTTGATGGTTTTTATTGGCCTAAAACCCGTAACGTGCCCCGTGACCGACTAGAAGCAGTATCAATCAATGCAAACAATGTTATCTCCCTGCAACATTAGCGTTTAATGACTTTCTTAGCTATCTAGAGTTGCTGGCCGCCAAACTTAACCGTGAACCAGAGCTACTCTTATTCTGGCAATTCTCTGCGTCCTCCGCAGACTATCCCCATCCGTATCTCCCCGGTCCTTCCGCCCGAAGTATAGCCTGCTATTTCACTACCAGCTTCTCCGCCGTTAAAGCAATTGAGTCCCCGAGTCCCCATGTTCTCGTAAGCGAGATAAGACATATCAGTTACTGATCATGTTATCAAGCGCGGAGGTCAATGAGCCGTCGCTAGTCCAGCCTTAGATCCACCTAGGTATTGGGGCCTTTCCAGCTCCCCGGATCTTCACCCCGCGTGATAGGGACTGTGCTTAGAGCCGTATGCGCACTAGGTATCATTCTCTACGGGCCCGATAAGAATTTCTATAAAGCTGAACGGGATCTCCTCCACCGAGACGGCTTCTGTTTCAACACAAACACCGTTCCACCCATCCATTCATCCATTCATCCGCCTCAATTCTTCACAGTCTTTTTTGCAACGGACTCAAACACCATGCGTGCCAAAGGCGCTACACCCAAGGCAGATACCACTGTCGATTATCAGTTGGGTTCTGTCTTGCCTCTTGATAGACCCTGGTACCGTCAGGCGCACCTTTTGAGACTCAACTTTATCATCTTATCACTGGTCTTGTTCTGTAAGTTGAATTCGTCCCTGTCTGGGAGATGTTTTGACGTTAACGTAGTCAACAGCTTCTGCTAATGGATACGATGGCTCTTTGATGAATGGTCTTCAAGCTCTTCCCAAGTGGAACGTGTTTATGAACATGCCTACAGGTGCTTGGCTAGGTTTCATCAATGCCATCTACTGGGCTATGAACGGTATCGCCTTCTTCATTGCTGCTTGGACGTCCAACATATATGGTCGCAAGTCAGGCGTCTACGCGGGCTATGTTTGCCTCGTCGCTGGCACGGTTCTGCAAACAGCTGCTCATAACCCTGGGGCCTTCATCGCCGCTCGCGGCCTGCTTGGTGCTGCGGCAGGATTATACACTAGCAGTGCACCACTGCTCATCAATGAAATCGCCTATCCTACTCACAGAGCCATCGCGGCTTCTTGCTTCCAGTGTGGCTTCTACCTTGGCAGTGTCGTTTCTGCATGGGTCACATTTGCCACCAGGAACTATGTAAGTTCATGGGACTGGCGCCTTCCATCGCTGCTGCAGATACTTCTTCCGGCTTTAGCTTTCCCTGGCTTTTTTATGGCTCCAGAGTCTCCCCGATGGCTCGTCTCTAAGGACCGCATCGAAGAAGCTAGGCAGGTTATCTCGAAACATCATGCAGGTGGAGATGACACCGCGCAGCTGGTTGAGTTGGAAACCGAAGAGATCATCAACACCATCAAGGCAGAACAGGCAGCCCATTCCAGCTCTAGCTACTCCGATATGTTCAAGACAAAGGGCAATAGGTGGAGGCTTCTGATCTCGGTGACTCTGGGAATCATTAGTCAGTGGAGTGGCAATGGCGTGGTCTCATATTATCTTGCTCTTGTCCTCAAGACTGTCGGCATCACCAGCGTTACTGACCAGACACTCATCTCTGCATGTCTACAGGTCTGGAACCTCCTCTGGGCTGTGGGCGCTGCAGTATCTGTAGAGAAGCTTGGAAGACGGCCCTTGTTCCTCACTTCTGCCGTAACCATGTTGGTCAGCTACATTATCATCACCGGGCTGTCTGGATCTTTTGCCAACACCGGAAGTAGTGCTGTTGGAACCGCTGTCATCCCAATGCTCTTCATCTTCTTCGCCGGCTATGATATTGCTCTGTACGTTCATCCAGTCAATACTCCCATTCACCGTAACAGAACTAACAGAACATGCAGGACTCCACTTGTGATTTCATACCCAGTCGAGATCTGGCAATTTCGCCTTCGATCGAGAGGCTTCAGTGTCCTATGGCTTTCAGGCATTCTCGCTGGTATTTTCAACATGTTCGTCAACCCGATTGCGCTCGAGAGCATTGGGTGGAAGTATTACTTTATTTTTATTGTTTTTCTAATCGGCTTCTTGGTAATTGCCTACTTCTGCTACCCTGAGACCAAGGGCCGTACTCTCGAGCAGATGGCATTTATCTTCGATGGTGAAGACGCTGAGATGCTGCCGTCTGACAAAAAAGCCAAGTCCATAACAGTGGAGATGCAGGATGAGAAGGGTGTCTAAGGCCTTGTTTCATAAGAGTTCGCGATATCTATCATGAGGCTATTTTCTTATTTATAGCTCTTAAAGTTTAAGATTCCTGGAGTATTAATTAGTCTAGTATGCTCTTAATACTTACTTTTGCTATCTTACTTTATATCTTTTCTATGAGTAGAGAGAACTTATAAGGCAGAAGGGTCTGAAATGAATTAAGATCTAGTCTTAGCTAGCTGCCAGTATATGTTTACCCGCTCTCTACGCTTTATCTAACACATCTTGGCCTTATAACAACCAGTGCTACCGTGAGTCTTATAAACAAAACCTTTAAAAAGTTATACTTAATAACTAAAAACTATCTTTTAACACATTAAGATCTTAGAATTTTTACTTTATATTATTTATAACTTAAAGCAGCTTTTCTAATAGTAGCTAACTAATTTAATATATTTTAAATATAAGACTTAGTATTTTTAAAGAATGTTATAAATACTATTAAATATTTTATTTATTTTTATAAAACT